TGCCCATGTCCTGGCCCCCTTAAATCTGGGGAAGAGGTTATAGTGGTGTGTGTGAGTATGTGTGTGTGTTGTCTATTTATAAGTAAGGAATTTTGTTGAATTTATGTATAATACACATTGATCGTTAATCATCACTACTATTGGCAAGTGTGACTTGATGTTTTCTTAAAAAAGTGCACAAGAATCCTGCATTTGATATCGTCTTTGATTCTTCTGTCTTTTCTACATATATATATAAAGAAAAAATATATAAATATATATTTGACACAGATGATGTATCAGAAAATCCTGTTAGCTACACTTTCAGTTATAGCCTGAATTTAACCATTTCTTGGTTCTTTCTCCACTGCTGTCTTGGTTCAGCCTGCTATCATTTCTCTGCTGGATGACTAGATTGTCTTCTTAATATGTCTTCCACTTCATTCCTGCAGCTCCCTACAATTTATTCTCTACTTAACAGCCAGAAGAATGCTTTAAGACCTAAGTCACATCATATTCTTTTTCTCATAGTCATCCAACGGCTTCTCAATTTACTCAGCATGAAAACAATGTGTGTATATTAAACATACCAGGACCTTTGCATTTTGCTATTTCTTCCACACAAAATCTTCTTGCCCTAGTATGCATATGGTTTGTCCTCTTGCTTCTTTCAGTTCTATTTAATGTCACTTCATATCAGAAAGAACTATCTAGATGATACATTAACCACCTTCCTCAACCAGATTTCTCATTTTCCACAGAACAAGAAAACAATTTAAATGACTATTTCATAAACTTCTCAAAGATGTACAGGACTGATATAATTCTAGATGAATAGAATAAAAGTTAATTAATTGCATGCAATGGATACCTTGGGCTATAAAAAATTAATTCTTTCACATTAGCTTGGTTGCAAAAAACTGAAAAGACAACTTCCCTCATCCTTAATATTGCTTCAGTTATTTCTGTGGAATTATATTACCATCTAAATGTGTACGTGTATGTATACTGCCTTCTGCAAAGAAAGGCGATATCTGTATTCCCAACCTTCTGGAACATAATAAAGAAGCAAACATTTCTGCACAAAGCCTCTTTGAGCTATTTAATTTACTTTTTGACAAAAAGAGAATGACACTGAGCACTCCACAAAGAACAAAAGCAGTTTTTCATACCACGAAATGCAAATTTAATCATTACTAGAAATACCATTAATATACATTCAGAAAAATCTGATCCTATCTTTTCCTTTTAGATCTAGTGTGGCTTAACCAAATAACATCTTAAAATTATAACTTACTATTTCTTAAGAAAAACATGTTAAAGTTTTTTTTTTTTAGATAGATCAAAGGGAAAAAATCAATTAAAATTAAACCAGAAGTAAAGGTTAATCCTCTACCTCTTGATGACTTCCTTAATCAATATATATTAGCATTCATGCACCTAATTTTAGAAAGACATGAACATCTTATTAAAAGAGATTTGTAATAATACTGCAAACTAAATATATATGTGTGTATGTATATATATGTATACATATATATAATATATAATTGTTTTTATAAATAGAAAATATATAAAATTTTACATATACACATATACATTTTTTTGGTTTGTGTGTTTATAGTCTGTCTCTTTCCACTGGAATGTAAATTTTATAAGGGCATGGAATTTGCTTGTTTTGTCTGTTTTGTTTATTCACTACCTAGAGCCCTAGAGCCTAGAGACTTAAAGACTGCTTTGTAAGAGTTGGGAGCTTAATAAACATTTTCTTAATGTATCATGAAATGAATGAATTTTCATGTTTCTTGTAAGCGAGTATAAGGGTGATATGATTGCTAAGCAATTGATAAAATGACCTTGTTTAGTAATTCTTCTCTCTGACTTGTTTTTCCCTCAAATTAGGAATTGAAGTTTTGCCTAGGAAATTTGACACTATAACTTAGAGAATGTAGCTTGAATTATGCAAATTATGAAGCTCTTAAGCTTTTAAGATGACATCATTTTAATAATGCTAACTTTAGATCATATTTTGGCATTTTGTTTTCTATGCTGTTTTGTAGCCCTTTGTTTACATGTGTAACAGACAGCAGAGTCTTAGAATAAAGAAATCATATTTGTTTTATCTTTGAATAAGTTTGCTGTAGCACATGCTTGGTACTAAATAAAAATAATTATTACATGAATAAATGAAACATACAAAAGTATACAGAGTTGAACAGAATTCTGTTCTGTTTTGGTGTTCTCCAGCTTGAAAATCGTAAAATTATTTAACCAAGAACCTCTTAGACATCTACAGAGTGTAAAGAGAACTAGACTTGGAGTCTGACTCTCTGACTTATGGTTCTAACTCTGTTCTTAACTTGCAATTATGCATTTTGGCTGAGTCACTTAGCAGCTCTAGGTCATAACTTCTACATGAGAATGCCTCCCTTTATATAAACTCCCTCTAAAAAGTATAGAAATGAGAAAACAAAAATTGTTTTTAAAAAGATTACACATTTGTTATAAAACTATAATAGTTTTATAATACTTTAAATAATTTTTGGTTATTTAAAATTCTTTGAGCTTCCTCTAAAAAAATAAACAATCTATATAGTAGGGATATGTTAACACTACATCCATGGTTAATGAAGTGATGAACATGCCTGGCTCATCGTAAGCAATCAGTATATGGTAGTAATTATTGTCATATTAGCTATGTCATAGCTTGCTCTTCCAAACTTTAAACTAAATACCTTCTTTCCTCTGTCCCCATTCCCAGGGGAGGATTCTGCTTTTAAAATGTTAGGTGTTCATACTTTTCTTCTCATTTCAAAGGAAAAAACTGCCTTCTTTTCAGAATTTTATAAAACCTCGAGTACATCCTTTTTGATTAAGACTATGTTTACATCCTATGTGACCCAATATACTCCTTCTTATACTTTAGGGCCCCCACATGAAATTCTGGCTCTTCTTCTAAATATTTTATTTTGTTTCTACTCTCTCTCTTCCAAAGTTAGCTTTTTTGTTTTGCTGTGGGAAGTGATATTTTTATACCTTGCAGAACTACTGATAAGTTCAAGGGAAAATAAGGTCATTTAGCATGTAGGCAACACAAGAAATTCGTCAATTATTTTAATTTTTGGCTTGTTGTTTTGATATTTTAATAGATACAGATTCTATTCTAACACATCAATTACAGAGACCAGATGCCACAGTGTAAACTTGTAATATCCTTAGCACTCATAACTATCATATGATTCTGTAAGAAGCTCCAATGTGGAGCTCAGATGGTTAGAGAATTCAAAGATTTCACATTCTGAGAACCTGGAGAATCTAAAAATATATAATAAAAGGTAGATTGCCTACTCACGAGGGTATAATACAAAGAATTCATCTATTGACTTGGAGCTGTTGGTCTGCCGAAGAACGCTGTAATCCGTTTCATATTGAACAAATAATCCAAATAAAACAATCATGGCAACCTCCAGGCTAATGGCCATGAGAGGGAATTTGAACCTCATGTTTGTGGCAAAGGACAGAGGCACACTGAGGGCTTCACAGGCTGTGGGAGATTGATAAAAACAGAGGTACTGCTCTGTGTGTGGATTTAGGCTGTGTGTTAAAGACACTCCAATGAGATTGCAAAAAAAAAATGCGCAAGACTGGTTAAAATGTTCCACCCATTGGGGAGAGTTATGCTCTCTAATCAAGTTGTTCTAAAATGCTGGTTTGAAGAATGTGCAGGCTTGATGGTGGTGGAAGTTATCTATGGCACAAAGTGTATAGAATTCTATTAAACTTAATTTAACACACTTCTTGAGTGCTTCTTGTATAACACAAGAAAATGTAAAATGTGTCTATAACTTTCTTGAGGAAGTTAAGAATCTAGTTGGGAAGACAAAAAATAGAAGTAATGATTGTGTAAAACAGATAAGTAATATAATAGTGATTACAGAAGTATTAGGGAACATAAACAAGGCAGCAATTTTGTCTTGGGCTGAGAACACTAGCACATGAAATGATATTGATGAAACGTAAAAAATAGGCTTTACCAGTAAAACAGATAGATCAGCATAAGGCTCTGTAGAACATGGCACGTTTGAAAAATAATGATTAGTTAAGTAAATTTAGATGAAGAGGGAAAGCTATAATTGTGGCTGGGCTGGGTTGTAAAGAGCCTTGAATTCGATATTAAGGATGCTAGATGTTGAATATTAGCTCATGGGCAATGGAAGAATTTAAAGAACTACAAGAAGGGTAATGTTTTTCTTGAATTCTCACTTTGTTTTACACAAATGTAAATATATGAGTAGACAATATATTTTTTTAGTTTCAAAAACAAGAGTGGATTTAAATAGGGGTATAGCTTATACACTTGACAAATAGTCACCATTAAATAAGATGCTAAGCAATTCAAAACTACTATGACAACTTTTGCCTTAATTCTGGAGTTGTTCTCAGAGAAGAATAGACCTGTGTTTGAGAAATTATAGCTAGCAGTTAAATAACATTGTTATCACTCAAACTCCACTTTCAAGATTCTATTTAGAATATAAAGGAGGGAGAAAGTGCAAATGACTGCTGGGCCAAATTCCACATCAAAGCAAATGTTAATAAAAGAAAGCAGCAAGTATTTTGTTTTGTTTTATCTTGTCTTTTCATTCTGGTATATTTTTCCACACTAGAACATGACACATTATGATTAAATTGCTCTCTGACATTTTATAAATCTACAATTCGAATATTTTGAAAATAGCTATTTCCATTATTCCTTACAGGATGGCCCAACAGGAATGGGTTCACGTGCTTCACTGTTGGAATACATGTGTATGTTCCACACTTTGATTTCTGGTATTGCAGTGGCCCAGAGACTGCTCACGAGAACTCCAACAAATAAACATAAAATCTTTATGTTGATAAACTATACATTAAGGTTGTAAAACACCAAGTAACATTGCGAGACTATCTAAACAATATCATAAATAAATGTGGTTTAATTTAATAAAATGATAAAATAGATTAGACATATTGGAGTAGTAGACATTGAGGAGTTCAGATTTGTTGCCCTTCTGAACAATTGACCTTCGTACTGAAATTAGCTGAATCATGTACAATCTGGGAAAATGTTTATATCTCTCTTTTAGTTCTTCAATCAAACTGTTCTCTCTAAATGGAACACCCTTTCCACACATTCTCTCCCCATGCCCTACAAGAATCATCCTTCACTTCTCAGATAAAATGTTACTTTCTCAGCAAAGCCTTCCTTGACCATTTTAATCCATTTTAACCCAGCTTCTCACTCTTATTTCCCATTAAATCATGATCTTATCACTTCTCATAGTTGGTTGTATGTACTATGTTTATGTGGTGTTTGTTATTTATATGATATTTTAAAAAATACTTGTTTTCCTCAATGGCCTATTGCTCCCCGAGGGAAAAAGCTGTGCTTCTTTTGTATATTATTTATTATCTAGAGTCAATACCATGCCAAGCACACAGTGGACATTTGATAAACATCATTTGAATGAATTAAATTAAGGCAGTCTTGAAGAGGGAAAGAAGCTCAGAAAGAAGTCCAAATGGTATGAGGGAGATAAGAGCAGCCTTACTGTATTGTAACAAATTGCATTTAAATTATCGATATGTATCTCTTTGGATTGAGTAAAACTGAGGATCAAGCTTAAATTACGAAGCTGGGAAGAAACAAGGATCTGGTACATCCTGCAAATAGCACATGGCACATAGTATATGACCTTGAAGGTTCTAAGAGTCTTTAAAATAAACCTCTCTCTTGACATTTCCTTACTACAAAAAGAACAGGCTGGAGAGTAGGGGAGTTCAAAAGTGAAAATAATTAGAGACAGTTAATAATTAGATACCTCATAGACTTTCAGTAGGTGAGGTAAATTTTAAAATGTTATGGATGGGTAAACCATATTCTCATCCCAGGTTGATCCTTAACTTGTTGTTATCTTAATTTATAAAAATATGTAAAATTGGATAACAGTTATTATTAGAAACTTTCATTGGAGTTAGCAATGATTGATTTATATAAGACCATTACTGCTTTTAAATTCTCTCTCTCTCTACCTTTGAAGGATATTGGAGGATGTAAGTGCTAAAAGATTTGCAGCATTTACTATGTTTTGGACCCTGAGTTAGGTGCCTGTTTATCTACCATGCTTAATCTCACAACAATTGGGTATATTTTCCTATTTTACAAATGTAACTTACTCCATCGCTTTTAAATATGTAAATAGTTACTCAAGCACACACCTGCCATACTGGTACTAAGTCCCTTGACTCACTGTCATTGCTTCTCTAATGTCTAATTTCCAAAGAGACTGTGGGCTTTTTTCATCTAATAGGATGGCCAGTTTAACCTCTTTTTTCAAGTAGAAAGAAGACTGGAAGAATTTTTGCTGACATATGGTATCTGGAGAAGAAAAGGTTCTTCTTGTTCCCACAAAGGCTCTTTTCACCTTCTCAGGGTGATTGCTGAATGACACTGTGCTCTCCCCGAGGATTTCCTCTTCAGTGTGCATGGCTGTGTTCAGTATTATTTCCCGTAGCCGGGTTACAGGACAAGAGGGGTGAGCACCAGCATATCCAAAGCAGCTGTCTGAAGCTCAGGACCTTGTCTTAAACCAAGGGTTCTTAACATTTTTTGTGCTATGAACACTTTTGGCCATTTGTTGAAGCCTCTGATTCCCTTATCGAAATACTTTCTAAATGTACAAAATAAAATACATAGAATTACCAAGGAAACCAGTTATAATGAAATTCACTGATAAAAATATAAGAAAATCCAAAAGTCTGATATAGGTTCTTCTTCCTAATGCATAAAATAACAAAATCTATATAATAACTAGTGCGATTTCAAAGTAGGAGTAATGAGCATAACCAATTATTATTCATTATTTTAAGATATCTGGAACAAATATAATTGAAAAGAAATAATTTGTCATTTCTATTGGTGACAAAGTTATAAAAGTACTAAGGATCGTTGTTTACTATAGTCACAATGGAAATACTAAATTTCAGTTAAATGCAGTTTTTTCTCTATTCAAATAAATAGGCCATCTGAATTCTACTCATGGAAACCTTGGTTAAAATTTTGTTTAAACTGTGGCCTTAATTCCCCTTTTCTTCAATGTAATTTTACCTCAGGGATCTCCTTATCATTTCTTATCTTTGGAAATTCTCACAGACACCTTAGTTTATACTAATAGATCTCTTTAACTCTTAATCCCAGAAAGAAGTGGAAGAATATTAGTTAAAATCTTCCTAAGAGACCTTGTACTCCTTAGACAAGTTGATTCAGCACTCATATCCCCCATATGATCAGCCTTGCATAAGAAGAACTAGAGGGCCTATGAAGTGATCTTTAGCAAAGAGAAAACAAATAGTGCCGTGTTCGAAGGGAATGCTACTGACCGATGATAAAACTGAGGCTAAGAGAATTTAAGCAACTTGCTCAAAGTTGCACAGTGGATAGGAAGCAAAGCCGGAGGAAACACAAGTCTATCCAGTTTCCTAAATTTAACTTCGTTTAGCTATACTATTTCGTTTTTCTATAAGATAATTAATATGCACACTGATCTCAAGGTACTGAAAATACCGAAGAAACTTCTAAAACATCAAAGAAAAAAAATTAAAAAAAATTTTTAGTTGTATTCTGTTTATTGTATTTTATTTTACTTCAATTTTGGAAGTGCTACCAAAGTAAGATAGTTGTCAACTTTCTTACCTGAAGTATTTTTTTACCAATGAGAATACATCTAGATAATAGAAAACATTTCGTGTATGCATATAGTTATTTAATAGAAGTCCCCAAACTTTGTCCCTGGGTTGTAGTGGCTGTAGCATCCTAAAATTGCTATGAATTTTAAACTTTGAAGACTAAAAAAAAAATGTCCAATACACTTTTCAAATCGAAATATATGGAAAATGCATCTGCATTTTATTGGGGATGACCACATATACATGTCACAAAAGAATTTGTACTATATGATTAAACTCATGTGAAAGTCCAGAATAGAGAATTTGGTACAGACAGAAAGTAGATTAGAGGTTACTTAGGGCTGAGAAGGGATGTGGGGTTAGGGGGCTGATTACTAAGAATATGGAATTATTTTTGAGGTGATAAAAACGTTCTAAAACTGACTGTAGTAATGGTTGCACATGTTGGCGAATATACTAACAACTATTAAATTGTACACTTTAAATGAGTGAATGATATGTTTTGCAAATTATATCTCAATAAAGCTGTTTAAAATTTTTTTAATTTAAAAAAGTTATCTCTCATCCTGGGCCAGATCAGGAATTAAAAGGTGAATAAAAGAGCTGCCTTCTCTTAGGAAGCTTGAATCTAGTAGAGGAGGTAAAAGTTAATAGCAGATAATTATGTTAGAGCTGTCATCAGGAGTTCTAATTCTTAAAGTAAAATTTTTGTTTTAACCACATAATATGTCTTCGGTTAGGTAGTTCAGTCAATTTTCAAATCAATTTCAAATCAGGAAAGCAACACTGCATGCTGTATATAAGATCCATTTCTTCAGTCTAACAATACTAAAT